AGCAACCTCCAGCTCTTGGGCTTAGGTGATTCTCTTGCCTCAGCCTCCTGAGTAGCTGCGACTACACACACCCACCACATCCCCCAGCTTTTTAAATTTGAGCTTTTTTTTTGCGGTTTTTGGCCAGCCACCTCCGGCATATGGGACCAGTGCCTTACTTATTTGAGCCACTGGCCCCGCCCACCAGCTATTTTGTTGTTGTTGTTGTTGTTGTTGTTGTTGCAGTTTGGCTGGGCCTGGATTGAACCGACCACCCTCAGTATATGGGGCCAGCTCCCCCTACTCACTGAGCCACAGGTGCCACCCCTTATCAGCCTTTTTGGTACTTGCTGTCTCACTTGCTGGGCTCAGTTCATTTCAGCTAGAATGGAATGCAACAAGACTGCTTTTAGACCTGGCTACCAAACTCTTCTTCTTGGGCCCTGTGCTTTAGAGGGCTCCACTCTGGCTCGCTCAGCAGTGCCCCAATCCAGGGGCCTACGATGTCCACAGGCCTTTCCTCTCTACTTTTTTTTTTTTTTTGAGACAGAGCCTCAAGCTGTCCCTCTGGGTAGAGTGCTGTGGCATCACAGCTCACAGCAACCTCCAACTCTTGGGCTCAAGTAAGACTCTTGCCTCAGCCTCCCAAGTAGCTGGGACCACAGGCGCCCACCACAATGCCCCGCTATTTTTTGGTTGCAGCATCATTGTTATTTGGTGGGCCCGGGCTGGATTCGAACCCGCCACCTTAGTGTGGCTGGTGCCTTAGCCGCTTGAGCCACAGGCGCCAAGCCTCCTCTCTACTTCTTGACCACCTTCTGCCTTCCCAGGCCCTCAAATTTACAGGGATCTCAGAACCTACTGCTAGGTCTTGTGCAGGCTTTTCCTTCACCTCTTCACCCCAGATCTGGGAACAGGAATGACAGACAGGCTAGGATCCTGGTGGCTGGGTTGTCCCATATACATGTATGGGGGAGAAGGAGGGAGCAGGCTAGGGTGGAGTCCCTATTTATACTCTTGTGCCTATGTCCTCCACAAACACAAGGTAGGCCTAGAAACTAGAAATTTTTTTGTTTGCTTTTGGGAGTTTTTTGTTTCTTTTCTTTTCTTTTTTTTTTTTTTTTTTAGACAGTCTCACTTTGTTACACTTGGTAGAGTGCTGTGACATCATAGCTCACAGTAAACTCAAACTCTTGGCCTTAGCCTCCCAAGTAGCTGGCACTACAGATACTTGTCACAATGCTCAGCTACTTTCTTTCTATTTTTAGTAGACAGGATCTTGCTCTTGCTCTGGCTAGTCTCCAACTCCTGAGCTCAGGCCTTGGCTTCTAAGGATTAAAAGTGTGAGCCTCTACACCTGGCCTGTGCGTTCTATTTTAGTCAGAGTAGTAACAGCAAATTATGAGAAGTAATAGAAGGTAAGGTAAAAAAGGGACAAATGACAGGCTTATTTGACCCAACATAGGCTTTCATCTTTAATTTATGTAAGTCTACATAAACTTTAAGCAGAATCGTACTTTAGTACCTTGTTCTCAGAATATGAATGGGCCTTTAAGGAAAATATGCTTTAAAAGAAAATACACTGGCTTGGTGCCTATGGCTCAAGTGGCTAGCCAGTGGCACAATGGCCAGCCACACATACCTAAGGTGGTGGGTTCAAATCCAGCCCGGGCCTGCCAAAACAATGACGGCTGCAACCAAATAACAGCCATGTGTTGTGGCGGG